TCATCAGGGAAGTTACCTGGGCTTGAGAGGGGACACAAATATTGTCTTGAAGCTAAAACAGATTGAGAAGCATCTGTGAGCTTGAAAGCCAGGGGACTAGTTTAGGCTCTGCCTGTAGACAAAGGAAACACTGTCTAGGCTAGTGGGACTGAACCATCGCATGGAGACAACAGTGTCTCAATGAAGGAGAGGGAAACCTAGACACCTGGCTTTGACTGGGCATCATCTGCAGTTGGAGCAGATGATCATTGTAGGTCACTTCAAATTGAACTATTCTGTCTAGTCTAATTTAGACTATTCAGTTGTATGTGGCTATGGTTAGGTGAAATTAATCCTGCAGCACTCTAGCTGAGCTTGAGTCTGCTTTAGCCTAACTAGCTGTTGACACATCAAAATATTCAAGCAGTCAATACACCTGCTTGACATTGGCTGGGGAGCCAAGTGTTTGCCCAGCTTTGGAGGTGGGCTGAGGGGAAGTGCATCTGAGACAGTGTGAGCTTTTGAAGTGATGTTTATCACTTCCAATAAGCTTCCTGCATCTGTGGCTTTGCTCCTTTGAACTTACCTAAAAAGAAGCTAACTCGGATACATCTCTTTGAACTGCAGATATCGTAAGGAACCTGCAGGTAGCGCTGTTATGTATGTTATATGTATTCCCACTGCGAGAAACCATGCTGACCTCAAATAGCCTAGAGTCAATAGAGAAAAAACATGATCAGGCAATGGGGGGTAGTGAGGCAATGTCTTTGATGGTGTCCAACAAATCAGTGGAAGAAATGATGGCATAAAAGCTGAAGGAAAAACAGGAGTGAACGGGCTATTATAGTTTAACTTCTTCCCATGTAGAGCCTGTGGTATTTCTGCATAGGTATTTATAATATTCAGTCTGCATTATAATTGTCCTTTGAAGGACTAAGCTTCATGAGATGAATAAAGAACAGTAATACAATGACATAATTTAATTTCAGAGTATATTTCATATAACAACATGACAAGTGTCTTGTTCCCATTAGCCTTGAAGGCTGTGTCCTTGATTTCAACACTGCATTGATGCTGTGGGAGCATCATCAAACTGGTAGTGGTATGGAGTGCCAGACTATCTGCTGTACTGAGAGGGATGCACCAGTTTAGAATGGTGCTGCCTCCCAGCATTGCCTCTGAATGAAGGCAAATGCAGGCCACAGTCATGGATTAATGGCTCTGTGAGATGTCTGATGAAAAGTGTTTCTCTGAGACATGTTCTTATGAACATTTCTCCCAATTTCTGTTAGAGAGCATTAAATAAGAGGAGTCACTGTCATATATGATATATATCCAAATTAAATAAGGAACAAAGAGCTCAGCAGAAAGTGCTTTTCTAGTGTCACTGCAAGTACATACCACCTTCTAGAATGTGAGAGAAAGGAAAAAGCGTTGTAAAGTTCCATAAACAGTAGTTAAATCCTTGCTAAAGACCAGAGACATGCAAGTGCCACTGTATCCCTTCCAAATTTTAGAGTTACCTCCTAAGAAAAAGCTATTAATCACAATAAGCTGCAAGTTGGTTTTTATCCTTTGGCTGATCCAAAAGGCCAAAGCTGGATGACAATTTCATCTGGAGGCGAGGGGATGCCACCAGCTTTCCCAAGACATAGGACTGCAGACACTGCAAATCTGGTGAGGAGTGCTGGTCAGAATTTTCAGATGTGAAAAGAGTGGAACAACAAGGGAAAATCTTGATCCACCTTAGAAAGGAAGATCACTGTCCCTACGAGTGATATCAAAACAGACTCACCACTGCCAGTGGCACTTTTCAGCTTCCTTAAAATCTCTAGGCACTGGGGGACACCTAACATGTCAAAAACTTCCAGAGCACTAAGAATGTATATTTTCCTTCTTTGTAGCAGTGACAACCATGAATAAGTACAATTTCTGCTTAGATTAAAGGACAAAGGCCCCTAGGAGTCCAACATCTTGGGAAAGAGATGTTCAGAGCTACATATCAGCAGCCTAGATGACTATTTACCATGATGTTTTAGCTTGAAGTGAGTGTTGCTTTTATGACCAACTTTTGATTTGGTACCACGTGCCTGTCTGCTGAATGCCTGTGAGCCAAGAGCCAGCTTTGTTTTGGGAATGCTTTAAAGCCTGGATACTTTTTCTGGACACCTATTAAGGAGACTCCTAGAGCTATTTTATCAATAACTGTGAGGGTGTCAAACTCATCAGAGTTTTCCTACAGCATTTTTCTCCTATAGACCTTGAGAATCATCTCCAGGTGATCTTCAAAAGAAGTACTGCTTGGTGTGTTCTAAGTTCTTTTAAGCACTCACAGGAAAGGAATTATTTACTCATCACTGGAGTTGAGATATGCCATCCATGTGCTCATTCACCCTGCACCCTCTTTACTCTCCCTCCAAGCCCTGGGTCATCCAGATGACTGCTGTGTGCCAACTGAGGCAACAGCCCAGCCATTAGTCACTGTGTGGAGCACTGGGGCTGTAAGATACATCTGTACTCACCCAGGTACAGCAAAGGCAGAACGTTTCCAAGTTTTCTGCAGGCTGTTGCTGGGAAGGAGAAGAAACCTCCTGAAAATTGGCCTTATCTGCAGGAGGATCTCTCTGACACGTTGGCTCTGCCAGGTTGTTGTCTTAACCCCTATGCAGTGGAATTTTGAGGAGAGGTGCATTGGATCCCTGATGGTAACAGCTGTCTCCTTGCACACCGATTCCTTTGTCATCAGTGACTCTGACTACAGAGCACATTGTGACCTGTGAGTTGCCTTGTCAATGTGCAAGTGCTGGCTGTTAAAATGGGCAGAAGAAAAACAGCAAATATTTAAGTTTCCAGCCCAGAGAGAGATTCCTCTCTGTTGAGCTTCTGGCTGGGGCTAGGGGATCATGAAATAGGGTGTACAAACACAGTGTGCAAACAGTCTCTGACCTGTGTTGAAATGGCTTGTTTTGTTTTAGCTGATAGCACGAGCCATGTGACAGACACTGACAATGTACATGGTGCATAATCCCTGCAAACAGATATCCTGTCAGGCTCACCAGTTAAACAATACCTAGGGAACTATTGCAACAATTTCTCCTGAATGTTTGCCACAGACACAATTTATATCACTGGTAGCTTCAGGGTAATTTCAAGGGTCTGTATTTAGAGAACTGGGAAATTTTGTCCAGACTAAAAGCCAGAGAACATGATCTAGTAACTCTTCTCAGGAAATATGCATCTTTGGATCCTATTTCTTTTTGGGTTTTACTTGGGCTTATTGAATCAGGTGAAAACAAACTACAGCTTTTTATTTCTATTTGTGTATCCACATGCCCTTTACATGGTGTCTGAGTGATGGAGGGGTTTGGGTTATGTTGTGTCCACCCGGACAAGAAGCTCCAGTGCTACTAAGGTACAGTCACAACAAGAAATATAATAAAGAGGGTGAAATGTGAAACCAAACAGGACATCAGTATCAATCCTATTCAGCAGCTGATTCTGATCGGTGGTGACATGCTGCAGACTGCTATTGCTGTCTGTCTACCAATACTGAGTGTCTCTGTAGAAGGATGCTAATGTGAAATAGGCCTGTAAAATAGAACTGGAGGAAAGAGGTCAAAGGAATGCAAATTGTATGGAGATATATGATTTGGACATGATGGGGCCTGATAAACACTAAGCAGGGATTTTATAGACTGTGCTTCACACCCAGCTCTGCAAAACGTGCTGTCACTTACCTGCCATTTGTATGCAGACTGTCCTTTTCCATGCTATGCTTCTCATCCCTTTCTACCTTAAATGAAGATCCATCTTCTCTTCTTGCCATTCCAACCAAAAACGATAATGAGGGAGATCTGCATTAACTCAGTATCTGCCGTTGGTCTCCACTGAGTGTACAAGTATGCATAAGCCCCCTCCTGCTCTTCCAGACAGCTATGGCTGATGTACCATACTCCTACCCTGAGAGCCTGAGAGGAGGCTCCTCTTCTGTCCTGCTGCAGGGCTGCCTGCTACAGGGCTGCCACTCTTCACCTTTACTCTTCATCTTTTCTGCCATCTGCTCTGCTCAGACCTCCCTGTACACTGAGGCCAACAGGAAAATCCCTGCCATCAGTTAGATGGCATAGCCCCCATATCAGAGATGAAGACGTGGAGCAACTAAAACATTCTGTCTCATAGCTCTGCTCCTCAGCTGTGGGTGTTTTATCAGCCATTACCCTGTCCACAGATTGTAATAGCATGTAGGAATGTGTGTCGTTTAACAGCTCGTTGTTTAATTTGTCTTAGTAAACAATTATGCTCATCTTGTTTTAAATTAAAAATTTGGCTCAAGAAAGTTAATTCCACGTGTATGGCAAAATCTCGCAAGAAAGCTGGGGAGGGACTTTCTACAAGGGCATGTAGTGATAGGACAAGGGGTAATGTCTTTAAACTGAAAGAGGATAGGTTTAAATTAGATATTAGGAAGAAATTCTTCACTATGAAGGTGGTGATCCACTGGAATAGGTTGCCCAGAGAAGCTGTGGATGTCAAATCCCTGAAAGTGTTCAAGGCCAGGTGGGCTGGAACTCTGAGCAACGTGGTCTAGTGGAAGGTGTCCCCATCCACAGCAGGAGGTGAGGAACTAGATGATTTTTAAGGTCCCTTCCAACTCAAACCTTCCTATGATTCTATGATTTCAGAGCTCTGTGGTATCCTGTCTGCAGCATGAAGGTCAAACAGCGTTCATGAAAAGTGTGTGCATTAAATGGAAAAAACACTGGCTCACTGGCACACTGCGAGGGGCAGCAGGGAATGGGGAGCCATCAGGGTGTGGGCTGCACCCACTGAAATGCTCCATGGATTGGCACAGCACTCAACGTGCAGCAATGTTTTTGCCAGTGTTCTCAAAGCGAGCCTAAAGCCACTGATAACAGGTGATGCTGGTGCAATATCAAGCAGTGGCAAGAGCTGGGCAGCCATTCAGAGCTGGAGAATTTGTGTATGCCCAGGAAAAAAACATTTTCCCTGGTGCTGTGCTGGCCTTTGAGGCTGGCCATGTGGTCAAAAGCGTGGTCAGCCCATGTGGCTGGAATAGCTGTGGGTGCTTGGGGCAGGCTTGGGAGGACATGGTGGGCAATGTCATGTAGATGCTGTCAAGCAGGTGGGGTGGCCTGGGATTCTTACCACAAGGTCCCATCAAGGAAAAACTTTTGCTGAGTTGCTGCAGGAGCAGATAGGATTTTCATACAATCACCATTTGGGTTGTTCATGAAGGAAACATGAAGGGAGGGTTCATGAAGGGAGGTGGTGGTGCTTTAGAGTACTTCTCCTCTGAGTAGGGCCAAGGTTTTCACACCAGATCCACGGGACAGGGGACTGCAGCCTAGGAAGCAGATGCTTGAGAAAGGATTATGGTGACACAGTGTCAGCCCCCTCTGAGACTCTTTGAGAAAAATGCATTTTCTCTGTGCCTCAAGGGAGGGGTAACAAATAAGTCAGGACTGATCTGTATGCACAGCATTGGGAGACCATACTGAGGATCTCTGAGTGGTTCAGAGGATTAGAAGTAGATGTGAGCTAGGCTATTCTGCTTTCCTTTTAGTCACTGAAGGTACTTTAGGGGAGGGGCATGTTGCATCCTGTCTTGGGCTTTATAAAGGATGTAGAAGAGTTGCTGAAGACACAGAAAAGATAAAGGATGTAGTGTGTAGAGGAAATGCTGAAATGTGGGAGCTTCAAAGGTTTTGGGATGTTCAGACTGCTGGAAATAAAAATGAAACATTGTTTGATTGTGAGCTGGAAAACCTTGACAAGAAGAAAATACCAGTTAGTGAATGGCTTGTTAAGCTCAGGTCAGAAAAAGGTATAGTGAGTTCCAGTGGTTGGACACTGGAGATGGAAAATTTGAGTAAGAAAAAATAAGGTGTTAATATGAATTTGACATGAGTAGCTACTAGAGCAGGCAGTCAGGGAAGGAGCAGGGTCTCCACTTCCTGAGGACTGCCAGCATCAGCAGGATACTTCTCTGGAAGACTCTTGTCAAACACATTGCTAGGCTCGAGGAGGAGAACAAGAATATCACATAGTAGCTGTGACATCTGTGGTGAGGTGAGGGAAACTACTGTTCCCTAAAGGGCTTAAACTCTCTGGATCAGTGAGTGAAAGGAGTAGAATCTCATTTCATCTTGCTGCAGTCATCAGTTGTTTTGTTGAAAGTCTCCAATTTAGACATATGGGTCAAGCAGAGGGGCTTGTGGGGTATACTGTCTGTCACTGCACTGAGCTGGACTCCTATGGGAATTACAGAAATGCAAAATCTAGTTATTAAATTAAATTAGTACCACTAAGGTGTCAATAGATAGACTCATCTGGCTTTCCAGAAGGAAGACTTGCTGCTAGAGCTGCCATTTTCCAGTAAAAATAAATATTATGTACAATGTATGCTTTTTACAGTCACCCATCAAATACCAGCTTATACCAAGAAATGGTTTGAATGGGAGATGCAGAAAATAGGACAGCCTAATCAGAGGTGGGCTGAAATCAAGGTCACCATACTATATTCCATGTTGAGATACAAAACAGCTATTCTCTGGGATAAGAATGCAAAAGTTTTTCGGCATGCAAATTATGCCGCAAACATTTGTATCATGTTTTTGTGGTGCTTCCCCTACCTCCGCCTGCTGACCCTGACCCAGAGGCTCTCTGTGCTGATCTCTGCGTCAGGTAAAGGCAAGTCACTTCCCTTGCTTGTACCTTACAAGGAAGGTCATCAGGGATTTACTGGAATGACATGAGAGCATTTGAGACCTTATATGTGCGTTCTCAGCTCCACTCCAGCATTAACCTGTATCCTAGTAGAATAAACTAGTTTAAGCTTTATGCCAGTGGTTCCCCTGCAATACCAAATCCAGGAAAAAAAGGTTGAATTAACTTCCCAAAAAACCAAGTCAGACATTCAGACATTTATTTGGTGCTCGCCTTAATTTTCACACTGACAAGATATATGCAATAGTTTTAGAATAAGAAGTAAATAGCAAAATTTACAAATGAACAAACCCATTTGAAATGTTCTGACTTTCTCTGGAGAAAAGCTTTTTTTGTTTATTTTTTTAAAGAAAATCAGACAAGGGTTTCGGGTGACCAACAAGTTCAGAAAACAAACTGCTGGTGTTATGCTGAACAGGTCTATTAGTATGGATACCAAGAGGCACTCTGCTCATAATTTACACTGAGAAGGAACGATTTCACATGCTAATGCTCTCTCTCAATCAGTGTCCTACAAATGGAATATAACAGCATCTTGCAGTTTTGCCTGGATGCTTGCAATTGTACAAGAAATCCACACTAAATTCTCAGCTTTGTGACCTGAGAAGAAGGCAGGTTTTTAAAAAAGACCCCAAACTACCTCTGAGCACAGCAACCCCTGGAAGATGTCTTATCTTGGTGTTGAATCATTATTTTCAATAGGGTTCATGTCAATTTGAAAGAACATTTTAAAAAGACAGAACAGTTCCTCAGTAATTATAGCTATGCCAGCTTAATTTACAAACTCCCATAAGTCTGTTGACACATCGTAATAGTGATATTTAATCATTGTTGTAATATTAGATTTCTAGTGCTTTGGTACCTTTGGTACCTTTCATTGCCAATTTCATCCTAAGTGCCGTTTCTTTTTCAAAAATGGGAAAAGGAAAAATTTCTCCAAGACATGAGTGTCTGGAAATGCACCATGGTACAGGTTTCATTCTCCTAGGACAGTCAAATATTTGTGTCAAAACCTTTGTATTTTCCAATACAAATAGAAAGGGGAAAGGGAAAAGGGGAAAAGGGGAAAAAGCAGAGGGGAAAGGGAAAGAGAAGGGAAGGAAAGGGGAAGAGGAAGGGAAGTGGAAGGGGAAAGGATGATACTTAATTGACA